AATAATAATAATAATAATAATAATAATAATAATAATAATAATAATAATACCCTTCCTCTTTTCCCGCAAGGCGGCACCACCACTGCCAATAGAAATACCGCCCCACTGCCGTATACAGTGAAGAAAGATCCGGTAGTCTCAACAGCGAATCCAACACCGCCTGCAGTGAATGGCCCAACGCAGGGAGGAAGACGCGTGACACTGCGTAAAGTGCCTCCATTACCTCCAGGCATTTTACCACCCGAACAGGAAGAACATGTGCAAGTACAATTGAAATTACAACAACTACAGCAAAAGAGAATACTGCAACAACAGGAACAAGAGGAACAACAGAAGAAACAACAAGAGCAACATTTAACCAATATCTTGGCACGTGCGAAAGCAACGGAGGATACTAAAAGGAATGGTGTATTGCCGATGAACCGAACGGTGGGAACACCACCGATGAAAGGCACCACTAGAGTTGATGTAACTCCTGATAAGGTGCTGCCAACAGTTAGGACGGCACCCACCTCTAATCCTATTTACTCTACAAACAAACAAGTACCAATGCCAACTAATGGGGGTGGTTCCTTGCAGGGTCAATTGGGTAATATAGCTAAAAATCATATTGATACAAAACAACAACAAGAAGTTCCAAGGGCAAAGGCTTGGGAAACACGTCTAGAAGAGAAAAATAAGACGACAGCCCCCCGAGTAACGACGGTGAATGGGAATGCCAATGGAAACAAAGATACTGAATATGATGCCCCACGGCGTCATGAAAGTGAAGTTCCCCAAATCTCTCTTGGCTGTTCAGGCTACGGAGAAACGGATGTGTCTGCTGGAAAAAATACTTTTGGAGGTAAAGATAAAAACGATGGTAATGCAACGGCTTCTTTCAATGACTCTCAGTTCTGGGATCGTGTTTTGGGTGGATACGGCAGTGGTACACCTATTGCCCGATCGGATCTGAATTCAGCAGCATTGAAATCCTCAGAAGAGAGTCACCCAAAACAACGTGAAGAGCCGGTTGTCTCCGAGAGTGTTGGAATGTCTGTAGAGACAATTCCGCAAACTATGCAGAAGCCTGTAACGGATAAACGCCGAGCAGATTTGGAGCTATGGGCCGCTACTACCCTTCTAAAGGTATCGAATGCTCAATATATGCGACAACAAGCCGTAATGGCAGTAGCCGCTGCCGCCAAACTGGCGAATTTTGAGATTGCCGGAGAGTTAATGACGATGAATGGAGAAATGCATAATGTGTTGGATCAATTGGTGTATCGTGATCGGCCACGGCAGCCGCAGTACCCGGCGGTGATGCCACTTGTATTGGAAACAGGAGCAAGACGAAGACGTCCCCGCACGCCGCGTAGTTTCTACGGTGTACGTGGAAAACGTGTGGGCCCCGACTGGTTCCGCGGGGCACTTGAAAATGCGCGGTTTGTGCAGAGTCCAGACCTGCGACCGCTGGAGGCGGAGGAGGCACAGGAGAAACTGCGGCGCGGCGGTAAACGGTAAGCAGATTAGGTGTATATGTATATATATATTTATTTATTTATATATATATATATATACATTTGGTTAAGAGAAAAAGAAGGAAAGAGAACAATGGAGATGAAGATGGTAATTGAAAGAAGAGGTCTACGTGTGTATCGTTGGAGTCTTCCTTTTCTTTCTTGTTTCTCTGTTAAAGCCTGGAGTACGATGATGGAGAGCTACTTTATCGTTGTCGTTGTTGTTGTTGTTTTCCTTTTGTTATTTTTGTTATTTATCTGTATAACCAATGAAGAAGTGGCCCGTAGTGTAGTTTTAACTGAAGAGGTGCAGACATTAACACTAACACTTTACACCTTCAAGTTATCCCTTTCTTTTTCTTTTTTTTTTCTTTTTTTTTTTTTTACTCAATCATCCACTTTACTAGTGGTTGATACAGATGTCTTAGACGTTTTTTTGAGTTTATCTTTACCTCTTTAATGGCTTTGCTTGTTTGAAGAAGAAATAAATAAAAAAAAAAAAAAAGATGAAACTCAAAACAGAATGTAACGGCATTAGTATAAGTAATATATACATGACTCATTCACTCTTTTTTTGTCGTTGTTTTCTTTTGTTTTTGTTTTTGTTTTTTTTTTTTTACTTTCCGCTCCTCGTTTCCCCTTGTTTTCATTCTATTCCTCTCTCTCCCTCTGTATATATATATATATTTACGTCTTCATTGAGCTGCAATTATGTGTATATACGGATGCATGTGTTTCCTTATCTTATTTTGTATTTCATTGTTTTTGTTTTTTGTTTTTTCATTGTTTCTTTGACGGAGCATTTGTTATTGTATTTGTGTATTTGTTGGTTTTAGCTTTGACTCAGCTTCTGTTGGTATTATTTGATACCCCAGTCTCTCATTCATTCATTCACTCTTTCCATTTCACTACCTAATTTTTCCCTTCCCGTTATGTGACCCATTAACTAGTATTGTTGGTTTGTTTGTTTTTTCTTCACGATCTCCTTCAGAAGAGGACACAGTGTGAAAGAATAAGAAGAAATTGTTTTTTTTTTGTGTGAATTGGGGGAGAAGAAATCAAACGATGAATTTTTGAGTTTCTCTCACACTCTGTGTGTATGTGTGGTAGTGGGAAAGGGAAAAAAAAAAAAAGAGGGAAGTTGGTGTTCTTTTTATTACTGTTATTGTTATTTTCTGAGTGGTTTTTTTATTGTCGCTCATGAGTATGGTTATGATAACTCTGTTAATGATGTTTAGCATTGATCATTTTTTTTTTTGTTTTTTACCTTTTACCTTTCTACAATGCTGTTGATGATGGTGATATTGATGGTGAAAATGTTAATAATGACCTGAAAGGGTATAAGAACGAAATGAAGGAAAGGAGTCATACGATGGAGTTAGATCTTCATAGTTTGTTTGTTGGTTTTTTTTTTTTAGTATGTTGGTATTTATGTGAATGGACCTATTTGAAAGAGGGAAAAAGGGGGTTGTGAATAGGTGTGGAAACAGAGGAATGGATATTTTTCCTTTCTTTTCTTCTTTTCGTACAGTGTCGGCCTCTCATTTTTTTTTTTAAAAAAAAAGAAAAAGCCCCATTTATCATCTTTTGTGTTAGTGTCAAGTAACTTGTTGTGCTTACCCAGTAATAGAGGGTTATCGTGCGAATGATGAGAATGGAGGAAAAATAATAATAATAACAGTAAAGAAAGAAAGAAATTTCTCTCCCTTGTCAGCAAACCACATTCTTCTTCTTTGGCTGAGAAGGAGGTGGAAGAGAGGGAGAGAGGGAGGAAAGAAAATCATTGGTGACATGATGTAGTTTTCTAGAGTTCTTTTTTTTTTCTTTCTTTCTCTCTCTCCCCTGCTTATTTTTTTTTCTTTTCATCTCATCTTTGTTTTTTTTTTTTTTTTTTTTTTTTGTTTTGTTTTACTTTGTGTGTCTATTTGTATTTTTGTTCTTCCTGATGTTCCCTTTCATTGTTAGTTTATGTCTCTTTCTTTAATATTCTTATTTTTCTTCACCTGTTCCTGCTACTCTGTTATTCAGCTCTGCTTGTACTTTTCATATATCTTTCTTTTTCATTCTCTTTTCTTTTTTTTTTTCCTTTTCTTTTCTTATTTTTCTGTTTATTTTCTTTTCCCTTTAGAAGGTGTGTTTGAAGGGAGTAAAATAGGGAGGTAGACGTTTGAAGATTTGTATATTCCGTTACCTCCCAAAATAGAAGAGTCAAACAAAAAGAAGAAAAAAAAAGGTTACAGAGAGACCATTGAAAGGAGAAAGTTGAAGAGAAACGATTTACATAAGGTACACACCCCCAGACAAGGAGGAAAGAGAAAATATCTATATCTAACAATATATAGGTATAGATATATTAGATACTGTAAGAACTACTGGTAGCCATTCCTCTCGTTGTGGTTCATTTATTCCCTTCTCTTAAGAGGAGTGAAAAAGAAAGAACATAACGGGTCTACTCTCTCTCTCTCTCTCACACTCTCTCTCTCTCTCTCTCTCTCTCTTTTTGGACCTCACCTCCTCCTAATAACAAGGGAAGTGAGAGGGCAAAAAGAAAGAAAGAAAAAAAAACAGTATATTAGAAGAAAAAGAATTTAAACAAAAAAAGTGCTAGGAGTGCGTTACAAGAGGTCCTGAGAAGAAGTGACGGTTATATTTATTATTATTTATTATTATTAAGAGGAAGAATATAAAATCATAATAGTGATAATAAATAATAATAATAATAATAATAAGAAGGATCAGTAAATGTACCACAACCCCTTTTTTCTATCAGGACGTACATATGTCTGTATGGGTGCTGGATCTAACAATGGTCGTGGTTATGTATATCCAGGGAATTATCCTGGTATTGGTGTCCAGCCCATGTGGCACAACGCACCCGTACTCCATCATCGTATGAAGGATGCAAGTTTACGTCAAGAAAATTACTTGGCTCGACGATGGTATGAAGACGCTATGGTGAATATTAGACGTGTTGGGAGTCCAAATTGGGTGGAACTATCTGCGTTGGATAGGGAAGGTGATAACTATGCGGAATATCAGAATAACCAGTACATGGATGACAGTCAGTCTGTTAATTATGTGGAGTCAGGGGAATTTTATGAAGAAGGGAATGAGCAGGAAGATTTAACCTTCTTACCTAGTATGAGTTACTGTAATCAAGGAGGGATGAGAATGGAAGATGAATCCCTAGACGATGGTGGTGTGGAACGAGAAGAAGAGCCTGGGCAAATCTTCTCTGTGTTCAATATTAATGAAGGTCGAGAACGGTACTCTTATTGTCCTCGTCAACAGGTGATGAATGGGGAAGAGGGATATCAGGAGGAAGTTTTTAACAGTGTACCGAGGTCTCGACAGCGTCAAAGAATAAGTGCTGTACCACGAGCATTTGATTTTGTCTCAATGGAAGATGAGGGGGAATATGAAGAAGAAGATGAGGATGAGGCTTTCCTGCGGCGACAGCATTGTATGGAGAATCCCAGGTATAGTATATTTCGCACTATGGCTGAACGTGGAAGTGTGGGAGATAATTGCAGCTATCATAGTCATATGCGTCCTTCTCGTGTAAGAGATGGTGATAGTCATTTTGAATACGGGAATGGGTTTGTGGATACCGCCTTTCCAGGGACGGACTATAGATATACAGAGAGTATTGCTTCTGAAGCTACTGTACCCAGCAGAGTGAATACCCCACCCCTATCATTATTGAATCCTGTTGTTAATAATAATAATAATAATAATAATAATAATAATAATAATAATAGTCTTGCTGCTTCTGGTCGGGATTCTGCTACGCAGCGCACACGACAATCGAGATGGAATAGTTCTGGTTATCGACTTGGGTCTGTGCAATCTCTCAGTAATCCAGAAAACCCGTTTCAACCACCACGACCTTCTATTGTAAGTAGACAAGATGGGCAAAACAATAGTGGTTCTATCAACTATAATAATAATAATAATAATAATAATGGCCCGCAACACTTCAATGTGGGACCACCACCAAGAGAATCCTTACGACCAGCACCGCGTGGATCACTACCGCCACTCCCACCAACAACAATATCTCCAAGAAGACGCCAGTATTCACAACAACAACAACAACAAGAGGAAGATGAAGAATATTACGAACTTCCAGTATCAGAATCATTGCCAACACAGTTAGAGTCAGAACTATCATACTCTGGAAATACGAAATCTAACCACTCAAATAACCTCATGAAGACGTTGACGTCCACTGCCAAGAATGTAAAGCGCAACCTACCGGAATACGTTAGGAAAGGACGGGAGGGCCTCGATTCCTTTGGTAAGAAGGCTCGCAAACAAATTATAAATACCGCTTCCAATATATATGATGAATCTATTCACATTAAGAACAACTTGTCATCTCGTCAGAACCATTTGGCTGAGAAAAAGGATAAGAGCTGGAGGAGTGATGAACAAGAGACGAACGATGGGATGAGTACGGAGACCTCATATGAGACTCAGGAGAACACTGTAGTCTATCAACCCCGCTTCCAGCGCAATACATCTTCGGCCCAGCAGGAAGAAAGAACGCAAACACAACGGGAGATGGAACAAGAAAAATTAGAGAAACTTCAAGCGATGAAGCAGAATGAACAACAACAACAACAGAGATCCCAACAACAGCAACAACAACAACAAGTACAGCAAGGTCAACAACAACAACAGAGAGGACAACAGGAAATGAGGCGGCCTCAGGCTCCAACGGTGCCGAGACCACAATATGGTCAATGGAAGTCTTCCTCAACCACCGTAGATGGCGTTGGGTCCTCTACACCGAAAGTAGAAGGTGCAGAGAAAGAAAGACGAAATGGACCAAATATGCCGACAATGCCTCAGGGAAGGAGAGAAGCGAACAATCCAACAAATAACGCGGGTTCTGGTGAAAAGGGACAACGACCGTCTTTGACGAAAGGGGACGATACGCTTCTACTCCCACCGGTCGCTACAGGCACCAATAGTTCATACTCAAATTGGAACTCACAATCGAGAGCAGGATCCTATGCTAAAATGCCATTAGACTACCAATTTTAGCGAATGAAAGCGAAGTGTTTTTTTTCTTTGTTTTTTGATCTTTTTTCTACAGTCTTTAATGGTACTCCTTTCTTCTTTGTGGTTGTGTCCATACCGGATGTAGAGTATTAGTGACCATCCAATTAATCCATTTTTGCGGGGGAAAAAAAATAGTATTTTCTGTCTTTTATGATCAGTAAGTGAAAAAATATCACCGTTCAGGTTGCAAAAAAAAAAAAAAAAAATGTGTTAAATCTCTTTAAATGTGCAACGTATCTTGAAATGGTAGATGGGTTACGTTCTGCTGTCGCCTTTCATATTTTTTTTTCTTCTTTCTCATTAATGTCTGATTGTTTGTTTTTCTATCCTCTCTGGCATAGTATTTATGTATGAAGTTTTTACTCGCTGTTTCTATTTGGTTGTTTTAGGACTCAATCATTACCGAGAAGCATACCCTAATATATATTTATTTATTTTTATTTGTGTATATCTATCTTTCTTTCTTTCTTTGGATCTGATTTCATTCCTTTCTTTCTTTTTTTCTTTTTTTTTCTCATTGATGACACCTCTTTTCTCTGTGGTTATTAGTGGTTACAGTGTTTATTTGATGTGGTTGTATTACTGGATAAAATAGTTCAATTCTCTTGATATGCATAAATTCTTTATTTCTTTCATTCATTCCTTCCTTCCTTCCTTCCTTTTTTTTTTTGTTTTTTGTTTTTGTTTGTTTTTTTCACTTCCTCTCTATTTCTCGCTAATATGAATATATATGTTTGTCAAGGAGGAGAGATGTAAACGTAATTATTAACGTGAGCTCAGTCGTGATATGTCCTTTGGCATGTTCTCTGATCACATGTTATTATTACTCTCTAAATAATGAAATTAGTACGAATTACATCTCCACAAGTCTCTAAGTGCGTAATTCTCTCTTCCTCTATTCGTGTGCGTGTGAGTTTGTGTGTGGTTGTTATTCTTATTTTGTATTTTTCTCTCTTTTTGTTTTCTTTTTTTTTTTTGTTGTTGTTACTTTTTAGGTATTACCCTTAATTTTACTCTATTTCTCCATATGTGTGTGTGTGTTTTTTTGTTTTTTTTTTTTTTTTTTTTTTCTGTGAGAGTTTTCTCTCTGCCTCAATTATATTTGAGTGTATGTGTGTAGTGTCTTTCGGTATTTTGAAAACAAATAAATAAAAGAAAACTGAAAAGAAAAGAGAAAAAAATCAAAAGGGGGTGATACGTGTAGAGATGAAGTACATTATTAAATGTGTTGTACTTTTCGTGGCGTGAGGGATTTTCTCCTTAATGAATGCCTTTTTTTTTTCTCGGCTTTTGTTTTCTCCTTTTTCCCTATCAATACACACGTACGTGCATACATACATACATACATATGTACGGATACCACTGTACACTCTGTAGCGGGTATCTCACTTTGTTTCCTTTCTTTATTTATTTATTTCTCTTTTTTTTTGTTTTCTTTTTTTTTTTTCCAATCCATGTTTTATCTTTATTATTATTATTATTATTATTTTCCTTGATATTTATTTACTTTCTACTTGTTTTGAATAGAGAGAGGAAGGTTAAAATGAGCGAGGGGGAGAAAAAAAAAAGATACGTGGAGATAGTGAATTCTGCGTAAAACTCAAAGAATATACACCGCTACTTGGAGAGGGCGACCACATCGTTTTCCCTTTCTTTCTAATCTACACTTCTTGTGTGGGTGTGTGTTTTTTTTTTTTCCTTTCTTTCTTTTTTTGTTGACTGAAATTATGACTTTTATATGCAGAACATATACAATTTCTCTCTCTCTTTCTATATATATATACTGTTTGTATGTATCTATTTATGTCATCTCCTTTTCACTTCAATATACATTTTTTCCTTCTTTCTTTTGTTTTTTTTTCTTTTTTCTGCATTAATATTGACTCTGAGTATATATATATATATAGTTGGAAATCAAAAGAAATACAATACAGGGAAAAACAATAACGAAAAGAAAAAAAAAAAGGGAGAGCCCTAACAAGGCTAAAAGAGAGAGAGAGAGAGAAAGAAAGAGAGGGGGAAAGGATATCTATTGGCGATAGTTCACTAGAACAAACAAACAAACAAAAAAAAAGAGAATTCATTATAAGTAATCACCATAACAAGAAAAAAAAGAAAAAAGGAAGAGAAGAGAAGAGAAGAGAGAAAAAAGAGTAGCAGAGATGTCCGAACCCAATGTAGTATCGACTCCAACTCTTACAGCACCGATTCAACCATCATCTAGGGGGACTGCCGTTATTCCAAAGAAAAATAAATATCTACAATCCGCCGCCGCCGCCCCAGCAGCAAAAAAACTAACCTTTGAGGATGGACTCCACTGTGTAGACTATCTTCCCGGATTTAACATGTTGGCCATTGGCTATACCAAAGTGGTACGCATGGTGGAGGTTGTGCAAACCACACGTCCACCTCTCTCCTTTGCCCTGCGATCCTGTGGGATGTTTGGTAATGTTGCTAAAGTAGAAACCCTTGCGTGGTATCCAAGTAGTACTGAAGCCGTTCTCGCCATGGTGCAGTTAAGTCGAAATATCACTATTCTCTTTGATACTTTGGTAGAAAAAGGAGGAAAGTATATGACGCAGCAGTGGACACATAATGCCAGAGGTCGTTGTCTTTCCTCGTCCATCTCGGTAGGAAGTGGATCATTAAATACCGCCATTGTAGGGGCTCCTTCTATGCCATCCACACCTTTCTACACAAATACATCCATGTCTACAAATACAACAAACACAAACACAACAGAGTTTGTTCAGCGGGCTGTGGGGCCGTGTAGTATGGTGGAAGTTGTAATAGACACTGGACATCTTCGAGTGGAGCGAATTGCGTGGGATCCACATAATCCATATACACTTGCGATTACATCTAATGCCACTCACTTTGAACTCTGGACAATTCCCGTTATTGATAATAAAGTGTATGCACCACAACTTAGACTTCGACCTCCTTCCCATGGTGAGCGTTCCATAACGCGTAGTATTGCCTTTTCACCATCCGATCCAAATCTTATTATTGTTGCTGTTGAGATGGCGAATGCTGGGAAATTGTTTGTATATGATAGACGGCATGTAGAAGCTCCACGGAGTTTAGGTATGACAGGACCATGTCTAACAGTGGCATTTCACCCAACCTTCTGTGATCTTCTCGCGGTGTGTTATCGAAAAGCAAAGACAAAGACATATTCTCGTGTGCAATTCTTTCGTGTCTTGGGGGAAGTTAGTTTAGGGACGCAGAAAGAATCTGTGAGTATTAATAATAATAATAATAGTGGTAGTAGTAGTGGTAATAATAATACACTTCTTGCATCTTGTGATGCTTTGCCTGTGGTGGAGCAAGAAATAGTACCTCCTGTTGACAGTGTGGATTCACTTAATCGTTTACGATGGCGACCTTGTGGAAGTACACAAACAACAGTAGCCGTGAAAACAACCGGTGAAAGTTCTGTTGATACCAGTGGTATTAAAATTGATGCCATTTCATCACAATTATGGTTTGCTACATCCGCTCTTAATGGACAGGAAATTAGTGTTTGGGATGCTGTAAATGGATTTACTCCTATGTTTTCCATCAAGAGAGTTTATAATGCACGGAAACAAGATCAGCGAGAACATACATTACAGGAACCTACTGATTGTGTTTGGGTAAATTCATTAACCCTTGTTTCTGTCTTTAAGGATGGTGATATTCTACTTACCTCATTAATGGATGAATCTACTACAAGCAAGGATACCCTCTTCCGCCGTCCTGTTAGCAATATTACGAACCATGATAATAATAATAATAATAATAATAATAATAGTAATAATAAAATCAGTATTAAGAGCAATGTGAAAACGGATGAGTCGGATGTATTTGGTCTTGGAGCTATCTTACCAACAGCAGCGGTAGTGGCAGACTTGTTTGGTCGTAGTTTTGTTATTCGCAACACAACCTCACTTCTTCGAGAGTATTATACAAAGATTATAACAGCTGAGAAACAGGAGATGTTAGAGCAAATGGCCATTAATGAAAATAGCTCTTCTTCACCTATTAATGTGATGACTTCATCTTTATGCTCTAGAAACCAGCGTGAGTCTCTTCATACAACACCCATGGAAGGAGGGATAGGGAATAAAGGATATTCTCCTCCTGTGCAATTCACCTTATCGCAAACTTCACTGCAAAGTACACCCTTCAATAAACCAACTCAAAGTCCATCATCTGTAATGTCTGCTTCTGCGGTTGCGGTTCCTGCAGCCACTACTTCAGATAATACGAATGGCAGTAAACGATTTGAATTTCTCTTTCCACTGCTGTTTTCTCTCGCTTCACCATTACTACCAACAACCACCACTACCACAACAACCACAACAACAGGTATGGTCTCGGAGGAACTCGCAAGGAATGAGGGATGTGTAAGTAAGAATATGGAGAGAGTGGGTCCACAACAACAACAACAACAGCAGAATGAAAGATCTGTACCAGCTTCTTCTGCAGTTGCCATTGAACAACATCCTCGTGGTTTCAGAGGAAGTTCAGATGTTCAGAGTGAATCTAGTCTTGAAGAAAAGTCGTGGAAGCCACAATTGCGGCGCTCTGAGGCAGTACCAATCACAACAACAACAACAACAACAACAACAACAACGGGAACATTGTCTGTTAGGGGGAATTCAGTACCTGTAGATAATAACTTTACTGAACGAAATGAGTTATTGCGTTTAGTCTCTCCACAGAGTGATAGTAGAACTATCAATAGTCCTATTTCATTAACACCATCTGATGATGTCCTAAGACAGAGGGCACCCTACACAACTCTTACAGGAAGAAAAGATCCCAGTATATCTTCTTCTTTGCATGATTTGCAGTTGAAAAATGGTACTAGTACTCTCACAAAAGATACTGCGGCAAAGGCTTCATTATTGTTAGGGTCTAAATCACGTGTGAATCCAGAAATAGAACGTTTTGTTCTCTCAGATGAAGTATGTGGATGGGCTTATGTAGAACGATCATCTGAACATGAGACATTTGCACGTTACGCTATGGGATGGGAAGTAGGATATGAAGTAGCACGACATTTGAGAGCTAATAGTCATACTTCTATGAATTCTCCTATGGAAGAGATAACATTAAGAGAAGCCCATAAAATAGATAGATATTTTGTAAAAATAATGCTGCATAATGCAAAAGTATGTGAAGAACGTGAACGAGAAATACAAAGGGAAAGATCTATTAATTCTATTAACGAGACTCGCAATACGTGTGGTGGTAAAAGAGGATGTTATAATGGGAATGAGATGGGTTCCGTGGATCCTCGTGGACATTTATGGTCAGCAACAGCAGAAGCCTTGCAAAGCCATAATGTTGGGTTAGTCACATCACTTGTGCGTAGTCAATTGGATTATACCTCCCTTGTGGGTGATGTACAATATAGTGCCGTATTATTTCTTTTATTTTGTTTATGGTGGAAACAGCGGCATGTATGTATGCACTGTTATCCATGTCCGCTACTTTCACTAAGTAAAAATCTTACGAATAGTAGTGGTAATACTAGTACTAGTATTAGTTGTTCTTGTAATAATAATAATAATTATAATGATGATAATTATTATTATTATAATAATAATGAGGACAACAAGAAAGTTGAAAAAGGCTCTGGGAAGGCGGCTGAGTGTACACCACAACAGTGGAGATTCCGTGCACGTCAATGGTTAGAACAGTATGTATCTCGATTATATGTGAGAAAACTTTATGTACCACTAAATGAACTACTACTTATTGTCCCTGATGTGATGGGAGAGTCTAATCCAGGGTTACCACGCGCTGATGATATTGCACAAAAACTATTCACATGCATTTACTGTGGTACGTGCCAAAAAAAAGAATTAGTACCACGAACTGGAAAAGGTAAACAATCAATGGTATCTCATTATTTATCTTCTATGGTATTAGATAAAGTAGAGGATGAGGATGAGGATGTGCAGAGAAGTGTTGATGATGACTCAAGTAGTTCATCTGCTGGAGATTCCTTTTCTTCTTCCTCCTCTTCCTCTTCTTCTTCTTCCGTTTCCTCACGTGATGGTGGATCGATTGCAGTGAGTCCTCCTATCGATGGTACTGTGATTGATAGAGAGGAAAGAGAAAAAAGTATTGCTGTTATTGTTGAGGCTCCCCCACGTAATGCCTATTGTAGTCGCTGTTACTCTGGTTCTCTGATGACGTGTGTAATTTGCGAGGAAGTGGTAGAAGGAATGTATCTTTGGCTGCGTTCTTGTGGTCACGGTGGGCATGTACATCACATTAAGGAGTGGTTGCAAGTATCAAATGAGTGTCCATGCTGTGGAATACCAATTCTCTTTTCAGATGAAACAAGCAAATATGCTTAAATAGATCGTACTATATATATATATATATATATATATATANATATATATATATATATATATATATAGGTATACCGTTGCACTAGTAGTGTTAAACATGAGTAATTCATTTTCCCTCGTTACTCTTTTTTTTTTCCAGTAGGTGATATCATTTTTTTCTTGTTTTCATTGCTCTTTGTGTTCATCGTTTATCCCTTTTTTTTCTTTTTCTTTCTTTTTGATGTAAACCCCTTTCCAAAAAAAAAAAAAAAAAGAGGAGGAGGAGGAAGAGGAGGAAAAAAAAAAAAAAGAAAAGAAGAATATTAGTCTCTTCCCATGATGCAGCACCCTTTCCAGCTCCTGCAGACGGCGAGTCTTTCGACGTTCTTCTCCGATGGATTTACATTAGCGACTTCTTCCTCGTTGCCTGTAAAAAAAACAGAAACACAACAACAACGGAAACCGAAGTTCAATATCGAATCCACCGCGGTAGAAGAGAGAAACGCAGGCGTAGTATTAACAGGCGAAGGAGTGCAACACGCATCTCTAGACCATATGGAGCGCACGGCTGGAATAAAACGTTTGCGTTCCTCTTTAAGTGAGGCCAGCACGCAGGGGGTTACACCCAGTAGTGAGCGAGTGACAGAGTCATTAGACCCAAATCCTGTGAATGAGATAATGGATGAGGTTAATTTACTGTCTGTTGTTAATGGCAGTGATGGATCTCATCTTTTCCTCGCTCCTGGTTCTACTTCATTAATGCAGATGGGACCAACGGGATCGTGGTCTAAATCTCCATTGCCGAATGTACCGGAGACATCTGCGGCTGTTGTTAGTACTGATGTTGTTGTGAACTCAGATGAGGTACAGGTGACGACACTATCGCCAAATGGAAATCATGGAATTCAACAGAGTGAAGAATTAGCTTCATTAATGCATGCAGCTCTTCTGGAATGCTATAGAGTGGAAGATGAGATTCTAAAGAATCTTAGAGAGCAGCATGAGGGAAACATAGACGAACAAGAAAAGGAAAAGGAAAATAAAATGAAAAAGAATACCCAAATGATGGGAACAGGTATTTATTTTAAACCTTCATTGAATGAAGATATTGGCTCATCTACATCACAGTATGAATTTTTCTCTTCTGTCGCACCATCATCATTTTCATCACCATTGTTAACCTCTGGTACCTTTACACGTATGATTTCTCACATTCATTCACAGAAAAAGCGTCGACGATGTGAGTCGCAGAGATTGGAGAATCAAATGCGAGATGTTACCCGTGCAAAGGAATTACCCTTGTTAATAGAAGATGTGGTCCGATATGCCCAACATCTTATTGGATTCTACTCTAAGGGTATCACTAACACTGGCACTAGCACTAACAGTACTTGTCAAACAGAGACATTGACATCACCGTGTGATGATTTGACTATGGGTGATCAACGACCTTCTACAGTTTACATTCCTGTAGAATCTCCTGGAAATGATGTTGGATATTTTAATCAAATGTTGTATGCCAAATTCCCACCTCCTCTTTTTCAAAACTCTTCCTTTGCTGCAGGTGTGGTTCGACTTTTACGTTGGGTACGAACTTGGCAAAGGTCCACACCGACGTCAAGAGAAATATCTGAATCCCAACGCAAGAGTTATGGAAAGAGAAAACAGTCTTCTATCAGTAGCAGCAGTAGTGGTAGTAGTAGTAGTGGTAATGGTAATGGTAATGGTAGAAGCAGTACAAGAGAAAGAGGAAGAGTATTGGGAAGAAAAATTAGAAAATCATTATTTAATGTGGAATCGGTTTTACCTCAACGACGTGGGCGAAAGCGACTTCATGTGGAAGAACAGAATGATAATAATAATAATAGCAGCGATAGCGACAGTGAAACAAATGAAGAAGTAAACAAAGGTCCAGTTGCAAATAATACAGAAAAGACAAATGGAGAATCCCCTTTACAGGATTACACTGCCATTCAGCGGTACCATAATGATTGGTTACGTGCTGCAGAAAGATTAATAAGTGGCGGTGCTGTTACTGGAGGCAACAACAATAATAATAATAACAACATTGGTGGAGGAGGTGGTGATGGGGGTGTTGGAATAAAGTTAATGAAGTCTACTTCCGGATCCTTCTCGCAAGATCCACATGATTGGAAAGAGTATGGATTAACTACAGATCATATAATGTATGATGAACATGGAAACCGTCTTCGTAGTGTACGTCTTGCAAAGAAGATGGCGAAGATGCGTGCAGAACAGGAAGAAGCTGAAAAGGCGAGGGAACAGAAACGTGGTTACTTTGCTCGTGTAGATGATAATACTCGAGCAATACGACGAATGAACTTTGAAGATGGTTTTTACACTGATAGTGAAGATTCCAGTGATAGCACAGAGGATGATGTAACGAATATTGCCGTTCTTCATGGTCCTTCTGGTGTTGGAAAGACCGCTACTGTATATTTGGTAGCGGAGATACTTGGATATCGCGTAGTGGAGATGAATACATCTGTGCGGCGTTGTCCAAAGAATATTGACCGTTTATTATCTGAACTAACACGAAGTCGACGACTTAGTGGTCTTGTTCCTGGAAAGGCCATGGTGTGTATTGAGGAAGAGTTAAAGAAATTGAAAAGTGAACATGCAGCGGCTGCGGCTGCGGCTGCTTCTTCTTCTCCTGTATCCATGGGGACACCGACAAGGAAAACGAATCTGAAAAAGAATAAAAAGTCTAACGTTATTTCTGCAAGAGCCGTGGCAGATTTCTTTCGTCCACGAGTTAAGACAGAGTCATCCGATATTATAAACGTTGATGTTGATTCCACAGTAACAGAAGAAGAAGTAGCAGTAACAACAAAACCAAAAACTGCAGCAAGAGCTGTAGTAGTGGGATCTGATGTAGAAGTGATGAATGACTCTTATACCAGAAAAGCTGGAGAAAATAGTATTGGTAAAGGAAACTCAATGGAAGATTTATCATCAGGGGCAACAAGTACATCAGGAAGTGGTAATCCAACACAAGAAGGCCCAACACGTACATTACTTCTCTTTGAAGATGCAGATGTTATTCTTGGTGATGAGGCGATGAAACCATTCTACGCGGCTGTTCGTGATCTTGCACAGAAAAGTAAAGTACCCATAGTCGTAACGGTATCCTCCACTCCATCTGGTAATGCTCGTTCAACAACATCCACAACAAATGGAGGAATAGGAACATCAACAACCACAACATCATCAACATCAACCACAACATCGCATGATATTATGGATACTGCACATATTGTACCAATGGGAGCTGCACAGGTGGCGCAGTTCTTTGGAAAGCGAACGCCATTTACTGGTATTGCCCCAATGTCTCGCAGTACTCTTTTCGCCCAATTACTCGTTGTGGCTGCAGCTGAGCGAGGTCTTCTTTCCATGTTTGATGCTGATGTATGCACTGCAGAGGAGAAGGAAAATATAGTAACGCCGAGTAATGAAACTTTGCTTGGTATTACACCCTCTCGTACTTCTCATGGATCTGTTATAGTGAAGAATGTAGAAGAATTTCAGCGTATTGCTAATGTTTTGAGAGATGAAGTATATAATAACCTACAAGGGGAATCTTGTGGTACTCCTGAGGATCATACAGATGTACGGTTATGGCTTAATCGATTACAGTATCTTTTATTAGAAGAACAGTGGCCAAAACATACACCACCTACCTCTTCTATACCCGTTTCCGCAAATAATAATAATAATAATAATAATAATAATAATAATAATAATAATAATAATAATAATGATTCTGCCTATATATTACCAACACATGTAAATGCAGAAGTTGGTGATATAATGGTTACTGTTCGTGATCGCAGTGAGTGGGATATGCGATTAGGTCGTGTATTGCAAGCTTCAGTTAACACAGATTTCATGAAGTTCTCTCCTTGGGAATGGCAACAGTTTCAATATGGAGAAGAAATTATGGCTGTTGGGAATAATAGCGATATGTTAAATGAACATGTAATGGGTGAAGGACGCAGTAACAGCAGTGTGGATATACCAATATCTTCCTCCTCTCTTGATTCCCCAGAGATGGAGATAATGAATATTCTCCGTGGAGTTATTCCTGATTCTATTGGGCAAGGAAATAAAACTTCTCATTTGGAGTGTATACATGACAGAAGTACAACAAGAGATAGAATAGACGCATTTAGTGGTTGGTGGCGCCGTACACGAAAAACAGATGCTACGAAGAGTTTTGTAGCATCCCGCAGTGCAGGTGCTTATGAAGATGTTATTGGGTTTAGTTGTTTGTTGTAGCCATAAGAACAAGAAGAATAGTAACAACAATAACAATAACTCTCCTTCACAACAACAACAAGGGAAAGCTATGAGCGGGCAAACTAAATTTGTTTTTGATGGGTTTTGTTGTTGCACTCCCGCCGTGCCGTACCAGCATAGAATAAAGAAAATGGAAAATGTTAAAAGCAAACAGATGACATTGTAATGTTCAAACGAAAATGGGATGGGTGATACAGAGAAGAAATAAAATTAAAATAAAAAAAAACCCAATACAGATACAAATCCTTATGAAGAGACTCTGAATACGAAGGAGTAAAGTGGAGTTATACTCGCCCTGAGGGGGTGAAAGAGAAAAAAAGAGTTTATTGTTTTTTCTGTTTTTATGTATTTTTTTTTTCTTTTTCTTTCTTAAACCTTTCCTCTTCTGATCTCTTCTTATTTGCAGTCTTCTTAGTCAGAACAATTTTAAAAATAAAAAAAAAAGGAGAGGTAGTTTAGAAACTGGGTCACAACGACGTAATTGACCAGCTGTGGGGACAATAGAAAGAGGAGCTGCAACAGTGACTGTTGTGTCTTCTCTTTTTTCCCCCTTTTTTTTTCTTATTTCTCTGCCCTTATTTATATATATATATATATATATATATATATATAGAAAAGAGAAAATTAGGGTGATAAGAACAGGTATGCCTCTCTCTCCCCTGCAGAAACAGGGGTATCCTGCTTCTATTCTCTTTGAATCTCGCAAAGGTGGTACACAACGAGTGGTGATGCTTCCTATTGATTTTGGCACCTCCGCTCTTGGTATAGCGCAGCAGTTGGAGAAACATAGCGGTATTGATGTTAAACACATGCAAGTATTGCAGAAGCATATCTACACTGGGGAAGTAATCTGTGCTGATAGTCAACATAATTGTGGAAGTAGCGACAATACCTTTATTCCCCATGGTGTAGGTACTTTAGTCTATCTTTTGTATGCTAAACCTGTTGGAAAAGGTGGTACCACTGTTGCAGGTTTACCTCATACCATTGTAACTGAGTCTTTTGGTGAAGTAGAAGAATTGCGTGGATCTATTCTGCTTGGATTTACAATGTATAAGGGAACCTTTCGCTTTGGACGACGTCATGGTAGTGGAAAACTTACTGTGTATCCACGTTATAGAATTAGTTGTACCTGGAATGATGATGCCCCTGTATTGGATTGTACACATTGTGTACTGGAGTACCTTGTCAAGACGAATAGTACAACAACCTCACTTGGGAATTCATCCACTATAGGTGAAAAAAAACTTCGTAGTAATATGAAAAGTAGTAAAAGTTCATTAGACTATTTTACAGCACATGTTTCCAGTCAATATCTTGGTATGACTTCTCTTATATCATCTGGAGTAACACCAAATCGTGCCTCATTTGCAGGTCTTGTATGGGCAGAACAAGCACGTTTTGTTACTGATGGTGTGGGTGAAATGTTATATTCGCATGGTGTTCGTTATTGTGGTTGTTGGCAATGTGGACAACGACATGGATTTGGTGTGGAGTATGATCCTAGTACGAATACACTTTATATGGGTGGTTTCCGCTATGATCATAGAGAAGGACCAGGAACTTTACATTATTGTAATACCGGAGCTATGTTGTGTGGAAGTTGGAAAGAAGGAAAGTTAATGGATACAGCTAATGCGGTTCTACCCACATGGCCTTTTGTTTTGCAAGGAGCTCTATGGAAAAATTATGAAAACTGGTCCTTTGATCATGGTACACTTCTACGCTCATGTGGATCTCTTAGTGGAGTTTGGGAACCATTGTTTGAGAGTTTTGATGAGGTACTCGCCTCTGTTGTTCATACTCAACAAGGTTTTTTGCCTAATACCACTACAGTTGGTAAAGCAGAAGTATCAGAGGTAGTAGCTACTTCTCATTCTGATAATGATAATAATTCAACTGAGGATAAAGAGGAAAAAAAACAGGATAATCAGAATAATAATAATAATAATAATAATAATAATAATAATAATAATAAAGATGATGATGATGATTCTGATGTAAACCACTTTCTTCCACTGCTCTCTTCCATGTTGCAGCGTCCTGAGTTTATGGCATTATTAGTACCGTTCCAGCGGTGTTTCTATTTTCTCTACAAGCCATGTAATGGAATTCGAAATTATCGAAATGAAGAAGAGGAAAAGGAAGAAATAACAGAAGTAGTAGAGAAAAATAAGGAAGAGTTATCTCGTGTACCATTACAAGAGGGAGTTGATTTGGTTTCACAGCAATACTCTGTGAGACTTTCCTCACCACCAACGAGTGGATTTCCCTCTTCCCGTGCAGGACTGCAGACATCCTCCTCTGATGATATGAATATACCTTGGCATAACACTCACAGACCACAGCGACACTCTGAAGTGAAGAGTGAAAAGAGTTTACCACCACTTCTTTTGCAATTGCAGGAAATTGGTCGTAGTTGGAATCCTGAAGAGGGAACTGTAGGAGTTCCACAGAGCTCTTGTTGGTCCTGTCCATCGTGGTGTGAAGAAATGCGAATGAGCAAATTTGGCAGTAAAGGTAATAATAATAATAATAATAATAATAATAATAATAATAATAATAGTGAATGTTTCCACTGTTTCCACACGACGAGTGTGTCAGAGGAACTTTCTAATCGCATGTCTGCTGCAAAGTTATTTGAACGCGCCATGCATGATCTCGCCTCCTTTGTTTCTTCAGTACGATTGCGGTTACTTTCCTACGTTGCCGCACATCCGGCAGCTTTTCATATTTCTGTAAATGAAAAAATTCTTGCGGTTTGCTGGGATTCTATATATGCCCTTGTAGCTCCTGTTATCCACGATCTGGCTGCTGCTGCAGAAATGGAAGCGATTACTGCCACAACTCTGGCATTTCAACGTTGTGCTTCTCTCACACGTGCAGACTTTATTCCACAATCTATATTAAACGAAATAGCCATGAATGTTAGTAGTGAAAGAAGGGAACGTATAATAACAGAGCGTTGTTCTCGTCTCTTCGCATCACCTGTCCATCACACTCGTTGTGTTGTCTTGCAGACAACTAATGGAAACTTATTGCAGTTTGGATCTACTGTCATCAGTAATAATAGTACTAATAGTAATAGTAATATGCATGATGTAGGGATTTACGCATCTCCAGCAGAAATGTTTGAAACCTTTGCTGCGGTACATAATCAAGCGGTGTCTCTCTTCTCACGTAAATTTATTTTGCAGGAACGGTGGATAAGTAGTACTATTCTGGCTGCGTTCACCCACGCAGATGGATTAGATCCACGCAATGCACTAAGTCCATTAGCTCTACTCCGAATTCTGAACTTCCTTGCAAGTGAAGTGAATCCACGTTACCCATTTTCCTATGAAAAAATTGAGAAGAGTCATTCTGAGGCGTTTACAACAATTCAACAAGATTATTCTTCTTGTGGTGATGATAGTTGTAAAAAAAGTCCCAGAAAGAGAAATTTAACTGGAAATACAATAGAAATGGCAGATGATGTTGACTATGAATGGAGCTTCTCTATGGACTCCATACCTACAGTATCTACTGATGTATCTGAGATTCTCTTATTGCTCGCTGCAGTCCACGGGGGTGTGGAGCGCTTGCGGAATGTGTATCCATCTATTCGGTACAGTAGACCCATCTCACTTGCAGAGGATCCTGCTAATTCCATAAAGAATACTAATAATAATAATAATAATAATAATAATAATAATAATAATAATAATAGTAGTATGAGTAGTGGTATTGGTATTAGCATGGGGAAAATAAATATCGTTTATCCACTAGATGAGTTGGAGGTCCGCACACGGTTTGTTCTTCTTGTTGGTGCTGATTTCGTACGGCAATATTTTAAACATAGAGATGATCCATTAGAAAGTGATTGTGATAATAAGAATAATGTAATTGTGGTGGGAGAAGCGAATGAAAGTGAAAGTGTAATGAAGAGAGACTCTCGTGCTCTCTGGGCACTTTTTCTCCCTATGCATGTTATGCAAACCGCGTTAATGGATCCTGTGAGAAAGAATAAGAAGAAATGGGGTGAAGTCTTTCTATCACAGCAGGAGAATCTCTTCAGTGAAAGTACAACACATTTACAGTATTTAAGCATGGCATCATCTGAACTCTTACTATGGATAGTAGAGTGTATTTGGGATGTTTTGGAGTCTCCTTGCTATTCAAATACCATACATACATTTTCAACACCAAAGAAGACAACAAGACATTTACAACAACACAAACAACTCAGTTTAACATTCTTAGCATCATCTCCAAAACAACAACAACAACAACAACACTATGTGGATCCAACAGATACTGAAGGAAGAATGATGGGAGAATCTCAAGAGGAATCCAATACTACAGATCAAAAGATGGAGGGAACACAATCTCTTTCGTATCAATGGACACATTTTGTTCCATTCACCGCCCCTTCCCTTCAACGTGGTTCAACAATAACACCAACAACAACAACAACAACAACAACTGGAGTATGCGTACAAGCACCTACACTTCTCACAGAAGGTGAACTTTTGCAGGTTTCATTGCTGCAACAACTTCTCGCAGATGTTGGAGTTCAGATGGAACTCCGCATGCGATTTTGTTATGATAATGAGGAGGATGCCGTATTGTTGTTTCCCATGGAAGGACCTTTATCCTCAACCTCCAGTGGAGATGCTTCTGGAATGGATTTTAGCCCCCGCAAAAGAAGACTACGAACAGCAACAGCAACAACAACAATATCATCATCATCATCATCAGTAGCAGTAGCCGTAGTAGAGGAAACTCCTATTACAAGTACAACCGCCCGTTGTGTTGGAAAGGAGGCAAGTCTATCACTTTATGTAGATCCTACTTTTCTTGGATCTCGTGTGTGGGAAGTACTGGCAGATGCGTGGATTAAAGCACTCATCATACTTCGTGCTAAAAATGTTTCGCTTCCACAGCATGTGAAACGTAAGCCCATTTGTACTGATGTAGTGGAATGCATGAGTTGATGGGTATATTTCACTTTTTTATTATTTATTTATTTTACTTCTTTCTTTGACTGTTGTTGATATTGTTCTTCTTGTTTTTGTGAGTATATATCATATCATATCATATATTCCTTTGCGTTAATTTCAATCTTAATCCGGTGTTGAGAGATCTCCTATTAGTCTTCATTTTTGCGGTATGCGTATTTTTATTGTACATTTCATTTTTTTTCTCTTTATGTTAAAAGAAAAGAAAAGAAAAAAAAAGTCGTATCAGTGTTCCTTTTTTTCTTTGGTTCTATCAACGTATTGTCGAATAAATTTTTCTGTATAATTTTTTGTTGTTTTTTTTTTCACCTTTTATTAGTGTTATTTACCTATGCCATGTGTATACTTACTCCCTCGTATTTCCTTTTTATTCTTTTACTATTATTGTTATTATTCTCTTTTATTCCCTTTTTATTTTTTCTATTTTCGTAAAGGGTTACAAAAAGAAGAAAAAAAAAACGGAAAAACAACTAACACAAACGCCGTTGTATATATGCATTACCGTGATGTGTATGTGAGCGAGAGGCGTGTGTCGTCTGTACTCTCTGATGATAAAAGTACCCTCCACAGTGGTACACTCCCACCGCCACGCTCATCCACTGCGTATGCCAATCTTCGCAAAGAACAGCAGGAACCACAGTCTGCCTATCGGTATCAATATCATCATCAACAGCGTTCTGCATTTGACTGGAACAGCAGTTATGGGGAGGCTGTCTACAATAACACCTCACGTGATGAAAGTATGCATGTGGAGGTGATACGGTTAACAAATCAGGAACGTAACTGTAGGAATGTCCCACCATTGCGAGTGCCGACTGTAGAGACTACTAGAATAAGAATGATGGAGTATAACCCCAACAACAATAATAATAATTATAATAATAATAATAATAATAATAATAATAATAATAATAATAATAATAATAATATCTTGAGACAACACAGCGCCGGTATTGTTGGTAGTCGTAGTCGTAGTGGTAGTAGAAACCAATTACAAGGTGCTCCGATCTTGGATGATACGTTTGAGGAGATTTATACCGAAGAGGATGGTGTTCAAAGGAAAACAAATGCGGTCCATCATGGGATTGGCGGTTCCTATGCTGGTGGTACGGTTACGGCTACTGGTGCTGGTGAGAGTGATGAAGGGCCATATGCCTCATATGAAGGTGGGTATGAAAAGGAGGATTACAGTGAAGAAGAGGAAGAGGATTATGATGATGAAGAGGAAGAAGAAGATGATGTCCCACGTATTCCTATCATTGCTGGTCAAGTTAATGGGAGAGTAATGCGTGATATTCTCTATGGTACACCCAAGGCGGGAGACTCCTATCAAACACGACAAGAATCGGGAAGACAACACAGGGATCATTCTGCTGGCTATGAACGAGAATACTCTTTACCGGAGAATGACTATAAAGAGACATGGTCGCAGGGTGGGACAGAGATGGAAAGTCCACCTCTGCAAACATTACCCACAGCCTCTACACAGCGACAACAGTATGAGATGACTAAACGGGAAAATAAGAGACGAATGTCAGAGTCATCTCCCACACATCGTACATGGCATCCCACACCAGAGAGTCCCCCGGAGTCCGGGAATGTAGTAATGACAAACACAGGTGCCTTTGAGCCATTTACTGCAGCAGAGCAGGAACGTACACACAGACGAGATACACGTTCAGCAGAGTTACACTACAGAGAGAGAGTAAGTAAGAATCTGGGATCTTCACATGCGCCATTCGCCGATACTGCAGATGAACACACAGAGTATGTGCATAAACGGCGACAGACATCAAGAAGAAGAAGTGAGAGACATGCCCCGTACGCACATGAAGAAGGAGAGGAAAGTCCAAAACTGCGTAAACAGAAAGCAAAGAAGAAGAGACATCAACAACACGATGAGGAGGAATATAATGATGAACGTGAAAATGTGGATGAAGTGCATGAAAAGAAGGTCCGTCGTACAAAGGGGAAGAGGTCTCTATCGCCTGAAGAACCATCATCCACATCCTACCCAGCACCAGAGGAAGAAGAAGAATCTGCAGTATCTCCAAAGGCACCGAAACACAAGAAGAAGGGGAGCAGCAACAGCCACAGTTATGAGAGTGGAACCAAGTCAAACAGTAAAGCAGAGACAGAAGAGCATAAGATGAGGCGGAAACACAAGCGAAAGCAAAAGATCCAGCAGAAAGAAGAAGAAGAGGATGTGGAAGAAGAAGAGGTGGGACCTCAGGGAGTCGTGTTTACAGCCACTGAAGTCTGTGCGTCATCAAAGAAAACACCGGAAAAAGAAAAAGAAGTGAAAAAAGAAAAGGTGTTTTGCGGTAGATGCTTTGGAGGGTCTGCAAAAGAAAAGAAACATCAAAAGAAAGACGAAAAGAAAGATGATAAGCAGAATGCCAACACACAGACGCAGAAAATAGTTGAGCAGCCAAGTCCCAAAGCGAAAGAGGAGGAAGAAAAGGCGAAGAAGATGAAAGAAGAAAAGGAGAAGAAGATGAAAGAAGAAGAGAAAGAAAAGAAAAGGAAGAAGAGGGAAGAGGAAGAAAAGAAAAAGAAGAAGGAAGAGGAAGAAGAAGAATATGATGATGAGGATGAATACGATGAGGAGGAAGAAGATGAGGAGGAACCCCTTGTAGAACCCTCAAACTCCTCATCTTTTCATTCCACTATTGAAGAAACTGTAGAGGAAACAACACGACGCCGTACATCCCTGCGCCGTTCGGTCCACACAGACAGAGACGCATGGCGACGACGTCGTCATATGGAGAACAGCGGTGTAGATAACTGGAGTGATGTGGACTAGGAATATATATATATTTTTCATTTTCTCTTTCCTTTTTTTTTTCTTACTGTCTGATTGATGGTGTCCTTCTTCCTTTATGCGTCTGTTGATGTTAATGATGTTGGTGTTGGTGTTGTTGATGATATTTATGAACTGTAAGAATGTGTCAAGTGTATTTCTGCTGTGGTGCGGTAAGTGTGATACCAAACGGAGAAATGTATGTACTTGCAGATTTCGTGTGTACATCTCAAGAGAAAGAGTGAGAGATGAATCTGGTGTAAGTAAGAGTGTAGATTGGGGAGCTATTAAGAGCAAAATGATGATTACAATAGGTGTGCGAAACGCAAGAAGAAAAATACGGTAGAACTGAAAAATGAACTTGTAGATTAAGGAAAAGTAATGGAATAAATATATATATAAAGGAAGAAAAAGAAATGTGATGTGCGTACGTGGATGTCCATGACCTTCTCGATCGTTCGTTTTCTCATGCACAGAATTCATATATTCAGAAACTATATGTCTTTTTTGTATCCCTCTTATTATTGTTTAAGCTAATGAAGGCGATTAGTAATGCATGGGGTTCTTTTGTGTACGAAGCTTGTTTTTTTCTGTGTCTGTGTGAGTTTGTGTTGTGTCTCTCTTAGAGGGACAAATTTATGGATTTGTTTTTATTAGTTTATTGTTTTCTCTTCTTTATTGGTGTGTGTGTTTGTTCTCTCATTGTTGTGTTATCCCGTAGTTTTTCTTCTGTGGGTCACTTCCTCTACCGCTTCTTTTGTCTTTTTTTTTTTTTCCTCCCCCCCCCCTCCCTTTCCCCCTTGTGTATCTGTACACCCCAATAGAGTTGAATAGAGAAAAAGGCAAAAAAAAAAAAAATAGTAATAATAATAATAATCGTAAAGATCCACGAAATCATATTTTTTTATCTACTTACTTGTTTTTTTTTTTTTTTCATTGTATTAACTCGGAGTAAAAATGTTCGTTTGTTTGTTTTTATATCTTATCCTTGTATTTCTGTGTACGTGACAGCATTTCTTCTTCTTTAATTCTTCCTTCTGTGGTAATATTATATCTCACTTTGAATAGTAATAATACTTAAAAAAAAAAAAAGCTGTGGATAAGCGGAAAATGAGAGGTTCGGGTAGGTGCGGTTTATACAAGCTACTCTCTACCGTTCCTTTTCTTTTTTGTTTCTCGGTTTGTTTTATTGTTTCTTTCTATAGGTGTGTTTATTCGCAACCATAGAAAAATATAAAACATAAGAGGGATAATATATATATATATATATATATATAT